TCATTTATGATTTACTTATGGTTTTTAAAAGACTGGTGAAAAGCATGGTGAAAATGGCCCCAATGTCTCTAGAGTTCATTTGAGGATACAGGCAGTCCTCGGGCTACAGACAAGATAGGTTCTGTAGGTTTGTTCTTAAGTAAAATTTGTATATAAGATGAAACAAGTACAATTTTTAAGTGTAACTCCAGCCATTTTTGTTTTGTTTTGGATAGTATACAGAAGGGTTAACATCCTTGTAACTTTTCTACTGTTGTCTCTTCAGAAATTTTCACCTCACTTTCTGTTTCTGTGACAATTGGATGAAAGGAGGATTAAAAAGTGTATTACATGGTAAATTATGGTAATCAATCTAGTGTCTTCCAGCTGTTTTGGCCAAACAAGATACCACTTGAGAACTACAGGCAGTCCCCAAGTTATGAACAAGATTGGTTCTGTAGGTTTGTTCTTAAACTGAATCTGTATGTAAGTCAAAACAGATACATTTTAAAAAGAGTAACTCCAGACAAACACACAGATCTTTGGCTAGCACAGAGAAGGGTTAACACCCCTGTGGTGTTAGTTTTGCTGTCTGTGCCCCTGTTCAGAAGATTTCACCTCACTTTCTTTCCCTGTGACAACTGGATTTTGAAAATTTTGCATTTTTGTGGAAACAAGGATTGGTGAGAATGCTTTTCCCAACAATAACTCTTCCAGAAGTGAATTTCCCTTACTAGGGGTAGATTTCCTCTTACTTTCTGTTGTCTTGCTCCATTCTTAACTGTAAGTTGTATGTACTGTGAGTCAGATGAAGGTCTGTAACCTGTATATAAAGGCAAAAATATTTTTGAACTCTGAGGCCCTGCAGGCCAGCAAAATGGCCCTGGGGTCTATGTGCAGCCCAAGCCGTATTTCGTCCAAGCTTGTTGTATATCCTACCCATCTTTAGTGCTCATTCATGGAAAAGACTTTTTAAAAAATGAAATGTTACTCTTGCCCATTTTAACAGATTGCTCCCATTCTGAGCCAATTTTGCATGATCAGCAAATTAACTAGATCACTGTTTGTCCTCAAATATAGGTTGCTCTTATGCTGTTGGAGTGCAGACAGTCTCCCAACTGCAAATTCAAATCTATTGTATGAAATCCTGCACTTTTTATACTTTTGGTGCACATGAAAACCCATTCCACAGACATCCTCTGAATGATGTGTTTGTAAGCAATCACTCATCTGTTTTTCATGCATCATTGAAAGCCTACGGCTTAAAATTAGTACAGTATCACGTAGCTCTGTGATCCTTTTCTGCAAATCCAAAAGTGTATCGAGCCACTAACACAGGTCAGCCAGCATCATAAAGTCTAGAAAATTACTAGAGGGATTTCCTTTTTTATCAAGTGATGCTGAGAATATTAATTTGATTATTTCACAACACCTGTAATCTGACAGTCTCCTTAGTAGGTTGCTTCTATAATTGTCAAAAATTAATTTGATTAACAAACCTATTAGTAAAGGGTGAGTGGGCATCTACAACACATTCTCTGTTTCTGAAGCTGATCAGGGTAACAGAGACATCCTTCACTATCTTACGTGGGCTAACTGCTTATTATGAGGAAGATGCAGGCATTAAAACATTATTTCAAAAGAATTTACTGACATGACATTTTCAAATTTAAGACTGTTACGTTTGTGGATGTTATCATACAGAATCAATCAGCTACTGTCGTAGTCTGGGAATTATAGTACAAAAAAGTAACTTTTGCAAGTTCTGCTGACACAAAAACAGGTTTCTCTTCTCTAAGAGCATTTTGACATTGATGTATTAAATATGTTTTGTTGTGTATTTAAGAAGGGTGTACAGTTATCAGTTTCACAAGCAAGTATCACACTGCTATGCTAAGCTGCAGCTTTTTGGAAGTTCAAATATAGTTGCCAGCATGGATTTTGTACTGTGCAACCTCTGAAACAGACTTTAGTGATACCAAATAACTATAACAAGTACTGTATACACCAGGGGTCCTGAAACATTTTAAGCAGAGACCGACACTTTTGGGGGGCGGGGAGACTATATAGTAGAGTCTCGCTTATCCAACATAAATGGGCCAGCAGAACGTTGGATAAGCAAAAATGTTGGATAATAAGGAGAGACTAAGGAAAAGCCTATTAAATGTCAAATTACGTTATGATTTTACAAATTAAGCATCAAAACAACATGTTTTACAAAAAAATCGACAGAAAAAGCAGTTCAATACACAGTTATGTTATGTAGTAATTACAAATTAACATTAAATTACATTATGAATTTAGAGCCAAAACATCATAATGTATTGAAATAGCTGGGGATCCGGACGGGAGGCAGACTGTGTTGGATAATACAGAACGTTGGATGAGCAAAGGTTGGATAAGTGAGACGCTATGGTAGTCTGAAAAAAAACAGTCAGCAAGTCATTTTTATACTTCACCCTTTTCAAATTTGGTATGTGGATTAGATTTGATGGTGGACTAGACTCGACTAAATACGGTATTTAAAGCCATGAACACTTTTAACCAACATAAACTTACCAGTATTTCAATGGGAAGCGTGGGCCTACTTTTGACTGGTGAGATAGTCAAGAGAATTAGGGATTGTTGTTGTGTGCCTTCACGTCATTTCAGACTGTTGTTGTGTGCCTTCACGTCATTTCATTTGGTGGCCCTAAGTCTAAAGTCTAGGGTGGTCGTTGGGTAAGCGACCTTGGGGGACTGCATTTTGCTTGCGGACCTTAGTTTGGGGACCCCTGGTATACACTCATGTCTAAATATAAATTTTAAATCAAAAACATCAACCCCTAAATGTGGGCCAGATAGCAAACTAAGTTACGTTATGTCAAGTCAAGCTATGTATCCACCTAACAAAGCACTATCTTGGCTATCTTTTGTATTAATTCAGGATATACAGGGTGTTTCAAAAAGACGGTTCTAATCTAAAATTGCTATATTGCTGCAACCATGAACCGCCCATGAAAAAAACCCCTTACTACCTGAAAGGGTGGGGCATAGAGTTTCAAATGATTACTGCTTGATGCCAACCCCCACCCTGCACAAACAGTCCTTAACCTTAGTTGTTCACAAGATAGCAATGCTAGCTATTGTTAAAATGGAATTTATTAAGCTAACTAAAATAAATCAGCATACAGCTAAATCTTATCCAACAATACCAGCAGAGTGGTGAGCAAAACTTGATAATTCATTAAACCATTTGTAATTTTTTGTGTAACTGCACCAGGTTGCCATCATGAAATATATTGCTTTGAAATTGGATCCATCATTTTGAAACACCATATATTATCACCATTCAGGATATACTGTAAACATTCCCCTTTGTTAAAAAAGCAGTAAGTATTTGCTTTTTTCGTCCTTCTGTTCACTTTCTTACAAGTGTGTTGTCAACCAAAATTTTCCTTATGGAAAAAGAATCTATCAAAATTGAATGAGCAGCAAAAAGTTGGAACTACATCACTTATGCAACATTCAGATCTTTCAGAAAGCTCTCCGGGGGGAAAGGTGAAAAAAGGCAACTTCCTACCCGCTGCTAATGAAAAACATGAACAAATACTTCAGGAGGTGCAGATTAGATATCTTTTGGCTTCTGGGAAGATTACAATTGATAGATTCTTAAGGTCAAGCAAGATCATGAGGATTAACCAAAGGGACACACAAAATACCTACAACAGTCCATTCTACCTCATAAATACTACCTGATAATACTATAAAAATAAAACCACAGAATCTCGAGTTTCCTAATGCTATTAGAACAGTCAGTGCTCCATGGCAGGCAAAGAGTCTCAAACAAACAATGCTGACAAACACACACAGCAAACAGAAAAAACCTCTATAAGGCTCTCCTTGCACACTACCAAATCTCCAGTGGGAAATCATAGGGGCAAAACCAATATAACTTGGATTCTCCCTCAACAACTGTTACAGATCTGGAGCCAGGAAGCAAGACTGAAAGATCCTAAATTTTTCAGCCCTGTTAGTAGGAAAGTAGTGTGTCCATGCGAGTGCTTCCCATGGAGTGGTGAATTCTTTTGTTGTGTGCCTTCAAGTCATTGACCCTGCGGTAAAGCTGTCATGGATTTTTCTTGGCAAGAATTGTTCAGAGAGAGTTTGCGGTTGCCTTCTTCTGTGGCAGAGAGACACATGCCCAAGGTCACCAAGTGGGTTTCCATGACTGAGTGGGAATTCTGAATCTAGGCTACAGGGACCTAGTCCAACACTCAAATCACTACATCATGCTGACTCACCATATTCCAGATTTTAGTACGAACTTTAAAGAAGATATCCAAGCTGCTGAGCCATAACTTAAATAGGTTCAGCACCCTGTACAGCTCTTTGAAAGCTACCGAAAACCCATAGTACATTCACGGGCACATCCTAACAAGGGCACTAGATAGTTCTACTTATGTTCCCTTTTAACCAGGACTTGCTAACCCATTCCAAAAAGTGGATCACTTTTAGTTAATGAAGATTATACTGGAATTTATGCCTAGGTAAGAGTTAAGGAATGGCCACATTACACTGGCCCTAGCTGCAAATGGGCTTAAAAGTGTGTTGATATGCTACTTTCCCCGAACCCCATTCACTTTTACCATATTCATGGTGCCAGTAAAATATTTCAGTGGAGAATATTTCAGGCTTGCTTCCACTACAGCAATGAAATTATTCCACCATGTATTCCTCCCCTAGGGAATGCTCGCAACATGCTCTATGTTTATTTGACCATAACAACATAAACTATCCAATGAGAAATTCAAACAAATCAAAATATTTTACATGCTAGTTTACAGAGCTGGAGTGTGAACAAGAACAACTATGCCCATATGAATTGTGATTTTTTTTTTAGTGGAAAGGTGTTGGTTTTTGAATTTATTTTAAACCAAAACACACAATTATTTCTTGACCAGGTTGCTTTTTCTGCCGAATTTGTTCTTTCTCTCTAAGATGTATTTTTTTCCTGTTTTTTTTCTGGAAGTGCCTCTTACCATTAGAGTCTTCCACTTCTTCAGCGGTAGTGTGGTTCTTGGAGGCATGGTGAGCATGCGAGGTTACAAGGCTGACAATGCGTGGTCTTGGTAGTGTCAGTGCCTTCCCATGCACTGTCAGGGAGTGCTCTTTCAGCTGGCTGACTGTCATGGTGGAAAATGAGCAGGAGGAGCATTTGTAGGCATGTTCACCTGGGTGAGCGAAATAACAGGCAAGTCATCAGCTCCAAGACGATAGGAAGTAAAATAGGAAGGAAAGAGAGAAAAAGAGGACAAGGGGAAATATTTCTCCTCCTATTGACCTCAGCATTGTGAGAATCCCATGGGTTCCTCTTGAGAGTAGTCCTAAAAAGAGAGTGAAATCACATTAACTGCCCTATTTCTATTCCTTTCAGGGGCACAGTGGTGCCAATAAGGAGGTGGTCATTTTCTTCAGCCCATGGGGCAAAACGCCCTGCTTATAAAAGGTAGGAAAATGATTCATTCACCACAGGCAGAAGGCCATCACCACAGGCAGAAGGCCATCAAAGGGCCATTCCTAAGACTGTATGTTACATTCATACAGTCTTAGGAATGGCCCTTTAAAGGGCTGGTGTGGTCCTTGGTGAAAAGGAGATTGACACCCCTGCTCTAAGATCTGAAAAGGATAGAAATGGTGAAAATTGACACCAAAGCATGGTGCTATATTCATGAAAAATGGCTCTTGGCATTGATATAACTAGTGATGTGGCACTCACACAACTGTAATTCAGGTGATGAAGCCAGGGCTGAGGCACTGTAGATGCTCCTGTATTTGTAGAAAAGGTGGGAGAATGTAGAATGAATTGAGCTACTCCTCTTTAACCATTTTCTGGAAATGAACTTGATGGGGAAGAAAAACCCACACGTATTTTCTTGAAAGCCACAACATTGACGTGTATGTATAAATAAAACAGCAGACACAAGGAAAATTACTCAAGAATGAGGTTAACATTGGCAGCTCACTAGAAAATTCTGCACTGCTGTTGTCCTCAGAACCTCACAGTATCTAGTAGCACCTTTTACCACACTGTCTCCCAATTTAAGACATCTGCCAGTCTGATAATCCATGGTTAAATAAATCAACATGGAGTAGTTACAGTGGGGCAGGCCCGTAGCCAGGATTTCGTTTGGGGGGGGGCTGAATTTTTTTCAGGGGGGGGTTCGGGGGGGGGCTGAGTTTTGGGGGGGGCTGAGTCTGAGTGAAAGAGGGTCTAGCCTAGCAAACCTTTTGTATCATTTCCCCAATACCCCCATGCATATGGGATATATTGAGTATGGTGATCAGATCATGATATGAATAAACATAACAGTTTAAATAATGCACCAGTAAGGCCTTTTCGCGAACCACCATGAGAATTTCGGGGGGGGGGGCTAAAGCCCCCGAGCCCCCCCCCCCCGGCTACATGCCTGCAGTGGGGCCTATAAATGAAGATACAGGACAACCAGTACTTGAGTCAGAGCAAGTCTATGTGAAGGAGAGTCACATGCTTGAGAATGCCACGTACAATGAAGATTTAAAAGCCAGATGGAAACAGTGCTGTAGGAGCCAACCGACAAAAGAAAGCCATGCAATTATGATCCAAACATAAAGAAGTTGCTTTTGAAGCCTATGTGAAAGCGATCATTATGTGAAAGCATAAATGTCCAAGATGGGGTGGTGTTGTGAAATAGAATCCATGAAGAGCAAGCAATCTCACTTTTTCCAGTGATGTGAGAAACTAGCATTTACAGGCACACTTCGAGTTATGAACACTGGACTTAGAAATGACTCATAGTTAAGAACGGGGGGTGAGACAACAGGAGGTTTGAGAAATCTAGCCCTTGGAAGTGGAATCCTCTCCTGAAAGAGTTATCATGGGGAAAAGTGATCTCCACAGAAGCTTTGTCATCAATGCTTGTTTCCACAACAAGCCAAATTTTTCAAAATCCACTTCACGGGGACGGAAAGTGAGGTGAAATCTTCTGAACAGGAGCACAGACAATGAAACAAACCCCTCTCTATGCTATCCAAATTCAAAACAAGCCTACAGAACCTATCTTGTTCATAACTTGGGGATCGCCTGCACTGTGGGGAAGCATTTATATTGAGTAATGTTGCTCCTAAGAGACCCCTGGCTTTTATACTAAATAAAGGATGGCTGCACCAATATGCAAGATACAGAATTTGTCATATCAATAATATTTTCAGCTGTCTGGTGGATACAGCTACTCATATGGTTTGCTCTTTCCAGAATGCCCTCAGTGGAAAGAAAAGTTCACATTAGCATGCTTTCTCTCATACACCTTTTCTGTCCTTCTCACAGTCCTTTCCACTGTTGAGAGAAGTGAACAACCAGGCTGCGGGAAGCATACCTCGAGGAATAAAACTCGACAGAAGGGATGGGGGAAAGAAGGATACCCACGGGGTCAGGGAGATCCAACTTTCAAAGACATGAATTATGTTTATGTACTTCTCTGAACATGGCAGAAGAAAATTGTGTGCAAGAAAGCATGAACTGAACCTTGCTTCTAGTTCTTCCTTGGGTACAACTGCTGAACCACAACATGTGGATGAGTCATAAACCACCATACTGACTATATTTTATGGAAAATGTTATGGGAATAGAGGAATAAATCAGAATAATTTCTTTTTAAAATTTGACCTGGGAGGAATGTATTCAGAAACAAGCAAGTGTTTCAGCCATCTAGTTATAAGATGTGACAGCTGAAATCTCTTGATATAAAAACTAGAGGTCCAAAATCTACAGGAGTGTATTAGAGTGGCTCTCAATGTCTCTAGTTTTGTACACAAAAGGAATATTTTACGGTGATGTATAATTTGCAAATGAAGTAGGAAATAAACAAGACTCTTAAAGCAAGCATTAAACCATTTAGTGAAAGCATGGAAGGGAACAGCCTAATAAAACAGGGGTATGTCAAAGGTAGGCAAAGAACTAGAGATTTGAAGAATATACAGCATGTTCCTGTCTTCAATGCGATGTCTTAAAACACAGATATTCCACTGAAAAGCTGATCAACAGTCATGCATGCACATAATTTTTGGGATTTCTTTTTTTTTTTGCATGAATCTGGGCTGAGGTTTGCAAGCATGATTTGTTTTGCAAATACAGTAGACTCTCGCTTATCCAACCTTCGCTCATCCAATGTTCTGTAATATCCAACAGAGTCTACCTCCCGCCCGAATCCACAGCTGTTTCAATACATTGCTTTTTTTGGTGCTAAATTCATAAATACAGTAATTACTACATAACATTACAGTGTACTGAACAGCTTTTTCTGTTGATTTGTTCTAACACATGATGTTTTGGTGCTTAATTTGTAAAAACATAACGTAATTTGACGTTTAATAGGCTTTTCCTTAATCCTTATTATCCAACATTTCCGCTTATCCAGCATTCTGCCGGCCTATTAATGTTGGATAAGCAAGACTCTACTGTTAAATCCCCAAATGTGGAAAAAGTAGAAAATGTGCAAAATATATTTATAAGCAGGGAGAAAGCATTTGAAATTATATGTTGTTGTCCACATGAAGGTAATAAGTAAAGACTGACATCCCTATGGAAGATACATCTCTTTTTTGTTGTCGGAGTCAGTGTTCTTTTTTATAAGTCAGAAAGGTGTCACAATATCCTTCAATTGCGAGTAATATCAGATCGTTCTAGTCCTGGTCTACGTGACCCACAAGGCATGATGGCAGCACCTAAGGGTTATAAAATAGGCCACACTACCCCTTTCCATATTACTGCTTCTTTGGTCTAAGGCTCATGTGAAGGAAGACATCTTGAGCCAATTTCAAGTAATATCCAGAATACGTATAACAGATGCTTTTGATGAAGAATGCAGATAAACCAGGCTGAGTTAACAAAAAATGAGCCTACATGAGCTGTCAAATGTATTTATTATTTATAGAATTTGGGCACTTTTAAAAGATATAGTAATGTTCTATCAACAATGTTCAAGTGTCTCAGATTATCATATGAAATAATATCATGGATGATAATATTCTGCAGATTAATAACTGATAAGTTTATATCACTAGGTCCATAGAAGGGAAACTTTGACCTTCCCAGTGTTTTTGTTAACACCCAGCCACTCAAAGCAGAAGTCCAGAGTACCTGGAATCCCCCCAGTTTTGTAACCATGTTGTTACGAAGGTTGCATAATATACGGTACTTTATCTAAGTAATATCACAATAATCCAGGAAGTAACAATTGTCAGTCCAGTGAAGAAGACAGAATACTGATTTTTAATTATGTGTTTTTATCCAACTGATCGGTGATTTGGACTCAGTACAGATATAAAATGCACAAACAACAAACACTTAAGTACTCAGAAGCTAGCCCCAGATCTGAATGTGTGTGTATGTGTGTGTGTCTGTGTGCGCGCGTATATATATTGCAATTTAGTCAAATGAAATGCTGCTGAGTATACACATATAAATACAGCCCATAAGAACAGCTCTACTAGATCAAAACAAAGTTATCCTATAGTTTAGTATTCTGCTTGCAACAGTGACCAGACAATCACTCTGGGAAGCTTACACTCAAGAACTTGACATTTCTTTTCGGTCTCAAGTACCTAGTATTGAAATGCATAATAGTTCTACACATAAAGCTAACTGAATAGAGTAATAGAGGTCTTGTCTATCCCTTTGTTGAACTCACTTCTAAAACAGTCTAGGTCAATGATACTAAAGGTGGTGGCAGGTAAATTTCATGAAGTAATCTCAAATTCTGTTACTAATTCACCCAAGCTATTTATAATTCTATAAACATCCATCAAGTGCAACTAGATCTGGATAGAGAGGTCGGAGGAAAGGTCAGCTGTGAATAAATTTATCAATATCATTTCTGAGAAGAAGCAGTTAAAGGGAAAAAACAACATATTTCAGCTAGGTAGAGCTCCTATGAATACTCAAACTGTAACTTTAAAAATATTGTAAAATCACACCATCATGTGTTAATCACTACAATCACAACAGTAAGCAATAACTTGTGGACCACATTTGTGTTTATACACTACAGTAAGCTATAGTTTAAAGATGTCATTAGAATAAGAGAATCTGAAATATAGATTGAGTATCCATTATCTGAAATGCTTGGAGTGTTTTGGATTTTTTTTCCAGATTTTGGAATGCTTTTATTTGTAGGCAGGTGCATGAGAAATCTTGGAGATGGGACCTAAATCTAAACACAAAATTAGTTTATGCTTCATCTACATCTTACACACATTGCCTGAAAGGAATTTTATGCAATATTTTCAATAACAATGAAGGTGTACAGTGATCCATCAGAAAGCAACGGTGTCCCTACATCAGCCACCAATGTGAACAATTTGGGATTTTGGAATATTGTCAAATTCCAGATAAGAGATGCTCAACCTGTGCCTGACCTTTCTCTAAAGGGAAATAAACAAAATGTCTTACATTTGGTGAAGCAAATTCTCAGTGATATGTTCTGCAGCAATTTGAAAGAGTTGATTCGATTTGAAAGAGTCGATACTAAACCTGTGCTCATGTAGGAAGAATCCAAATAATCCCATGCCTGGATCTAACACCACCCTTGCATTCGAAAACAAACAAAAAGTTCTGGGACACCTTTGTATATGGAACTGTGCCATTAACAATGTCATAACTGGACAAAGGACAAATGCTAAGCACAAGCCTTATCATGCTCATCAAAATACTGGGAACTTGACTTGGCATGAAGATTGTTATGAAGGCTAAATAACATATACAATGGCAGTCAAAATGAAAAATGAAACAGGGACGCTTATCACCACATTTAAATTAGAAACAGAGAGCTTGACATCAGTCCACAAAATACTTCTTGCTCATCTATGCAGAGATGCCTCTGTAAAAGACAAGTCTTTATCTCGGTAGTGAAATAAACATCAACATTGCCATGCAGTAATGAGCAAAAACACAGATCAAATTCCCTTCCAATGATGTTCACAATGTTGCCAATGAAGATCATGGCCAACCAAATATATTATGATGAAATTACATGCCCAACATATATTTGCACAGCCTAGAAGTTGTGGCATGAAGTTTGGATTTCAGAGCTCAAGCAACCTACACACTGTACAACATTTCACCAGAACATATTAGGTAACAAATATTTTCATACACATGAACATTTGCAATAAGTACCCATATTTTCAGCATTTCTAAGGGATGTTTGAAAGTGTTTTCATAGAATCATAGAGTTGGAAGAGACCCCATGGGCCATCCAATCCAACCCCTTGCCAAGAAGAAGGAAAATCTCATTGTTTTCCTGGTTAAAAAAAGCTTCCTGTTCCTGTTTTAAGGCAGCAATGAACAACAAACAGAAAGCACATGATAACATCCAATTCCACACTTGAGACTTCCTTTCCCTCTCTAGCACTTCACAGTGCTGAAAATCAACTTTGGAATATTTTTTCCAGACCCCTAAAGCAGGTTTATCAGAAGGATATGGCGCCTGTAGCCGTAAAAGGGATTGCGGCTTGTCAGCAGAAATATTTTAATTCATACAGACCATAAGCTGAAAAGGATATTGGAAATGCATATCAAAATACCTAGGTAAGAATGTAATCTCCTGGAACACACATTCAGACATGCATCAAACAGTGCATTCAAGTATAAGTCCCCTTCCTCTCAATGAGGTCTGTATGCTTGAATGTCCAGCTTTAATCTCTCTTACTGACACAACTGAATATCAAAATCTGATGAAGGATGCATAGCAGATTCTCTCTCATGATGGATTTGAGAGAGAATCAATTCCATCAATGTTTTAAAACAAATGCAAAGCAACAAAGGTGTGGAAAACTGAACATGAATAGGTTCAAAACACAACATGGAAAACTGGGGCTTAAAATCTCCTTACACAAACCAGAGTGTTTTATATGAGCAGCCTTCTTGGCTCTTCCAAACCAACTGGAGGACCGTACCGTAATCTCAAACGTTTTAATTTTGCTCCTCTCTCACACTGCTTCCCAAACTTCAGTTTAATTCATCTAATTTCTTGTTCTGGCCACATCATGCCAGCTGCCATTTTAGGATCACTTCTTCACTGAGTATTCCAGTTTTGGTCTAACCTTAGCATCACATGTCAACTTTCTACTGGTTGCACTTTGAAGGCAATACCCTCATGCATTTACAAACTGAACGTTCAACAGGAAAACGACCTTCTTCATTATGGAAGAGGACTTACCAGCATGAGCTTTGAGCAGATGAGTTTTCAGCCGGCTATTATACGAGGACTTGAATGGGCAGAGTTTGCAGCGGAATGGTTTATGATGTCCATGGTGAGCTTGCATATGGCGATCCAAACTTGCCAGGGAAAAGCAGCAATGAGAAGCGAAAAAAAAAAGGAAAGAAGGGGGAATGTAAATCATTTCAACTAAAACTAAAACTGAGTAACAACAGAACATTTTGTCACTTATAAGGTGGCTTCTTTCGCTCATATTGGCAGAAATAAATTCTCATGAATGAGATGACAGGTGTGTCAAAGTGCAGCATAGGATGTGAGCCATTAAACAGGTAAATTGGGGCATATCTGGTTCATCTCTCACACTCGATGATCATGACAAGTAGGTACAATTTTTGATAAAGCCAATGRCAGAAAAATATCAGAAAACATTTCTGCCTGAGAAACAACATAACCAGGACTAATTGAGGCATTTCACCAAAAAGACCTTAATACACTCCTCACTTTGTAATGAAAATCCAGCTGCCAAAATCACAGAAACCTGGCTGCCTCAACAGTCATGAATTCAGTATTTAAAYCAGTGGTTCCCAAMCTTTGGGCCTCCAGGTGTTTTGGACTTCAGCTCCCAAARTTCCTAACAGCTGGTAAACTGGTTGGGATTTCTGGGAGTTGAAGTCCAAAACACCTGGAGGCTCAAAGGTTGGGAACCACTGCTTTAAACCCATCAAAGTCTGAATCCTAGAGCTGGAAAAGGGTTGTAGTTCTATCTATGCCGACCTGTTTGATGGAGGAAATACACAGACTGCTTGAACACTTCCAATACGGCAAGGTCAAGCCTATCTTGACTCACCTAAACTGCTGCGCTAATTTATCTGCTCTCACCATAAACAATATTTCCCATCTAATATTGAAATGAAATCTGCATAGCCTGCAACTTAAGCTGATCAGACTGAGAAATATTTTTCCAGGCTGCGTCTTTTCCAATTGTTCAACTAAAATGAAAACAAGTTTCAATTTCAAAATTTTATTCATGGTGAACATCTGTCAAGGAAAACAAAAATGGATAGGAGTTTAAAATTCTGGAAGGCAATAAGACGGCAATTCCGATTTCCATCCCTTTCCATCTATTCCAAATATGACTGCAGTATGTGAATATGTAGGACAGGGGAGGTGGAATTTCCATAGCTAATCTCAGTGTAAATATGCAGTAACTTCAAGCGCTTTCCTCTTTATCTGACTTGCTATTGTTCATTCATTTTAATGTTTATCAGCTAAAATAAGAATATTCAGCAGGTGGGTGAGAAGTTCCTGTTCTGTACCATGAGGCTTAGTGCCTACCTGTGCAAAAAGAGAGTGTGACAGAGGATATTTTCCTACAGTCACAGTCACAATTGTTACATTAAGAAACATTCTTGAACTGAAAACAAGTAGATTGCCTTTGGTAGAATTACTGCTATCAGAGTAAAACCAGACACCAAAAATAAATATAAACAAATCCTTATGCGTATACATATTTATGTATTTATTGTCTTGCCTGATTCTATGACAGAATTTAGATCAGAATTAAGTTTCCAAGACTGACAAGCCAGAAAAAGTTCTAGAGCTGCCTTTTCTCAACTGACTCCCTCTAATAAGTCGGACTACATCTTCCATTATCCTTAGCCAGTATGTTCATGGAATACAACACATCTGGTGTGTGCCAGGTTAAGGAAAGCTTTTCAGGAAAACCATAAACAGGATATAAGACACAATCCCCTGTCGTTTTTCATCCCAGACACTTGGCACATTGCCTCTAAAATGTGGTGTAGGTGCTGCTCTTGCTTAATATTGGTAGAACTAAGACTCACAATTCCCCACAGTAAGAAACCAAAACGCGTACTGAAATGGAGAGCAACTGTCATGATCAATTTACTGACCTATTCAATCATTTGCTTTAAAAATATTGCAAAAATATCCTTAATCCTACATACACACCTGATCAGAAAGAAGTCCCAGTGAAATAAATCTGGGATTTCTTACCAGGTAAGCATGCACTGTACTGCAGTCCCATTTGACTTCATGCAGATTATAGTGAACTATTGTACTGTTTTGTTGTTATTTGTCATCAAGTTGACATGGTGCCTCTATGAAGGGAAATCCACAATGCTTGTGGTCATCAACAACTCTTCTCAGATCTTACAAACTCAGTGCAGTGGCTTCTTTGATTGAATCAGTCCGTCATTAATATGGTCATGCTCTTTTTCTACCTCCTTCCACTTTATGAATCATTATAATTTTTCCCCATGAGTCATGTCATCTCATGATATTTCTAAAGTACAAGAGCCTCAGTTTAGTCATCTTCACTTGTACTAAAAGTTCAGTCTCAATTAGCTCTAAGACAAATTATCTTTTTGGCATTCCACAGTTTCCGTGGTGTTGTTGTTGTTGTTGTTGTTTCTGTCCTTAAAATCTTTTATTGTCAAAGACTTTCATGGCCAGAATTACTGGGTTGTTGTAGGTTTTTCAGGCTGTATGGCCATGTTCTAGACCTCACAACCTCTGAGGATGTCTGCCATAGATGCAGGAGAAACATCAGGAGAGAATGCTTCTAGAACAGTGGTTCTCAACCTGGTCCCCAGATGTTTTTGGCCTTCAACTCCCAGAAATCCTAACAACTGGTAAACTGGCTGGGATTTTTGGGAGTTGTAGGCGAAAAACATGAGGGGACCCCAGGTTGAGAACCACTGTTCTAGAACAATGCCATACAGCCCGAAAAGCCTACAACAACCCAATTAAAATCTTTTTGTAAAACTCTCATGCCTACAACAATGCATTTTATAATCAAGAATTGTTGTCCTTAACTTACACAGAGGTTGGGGCACAGGACTCCTACATAAGTGGAAAAAACATGAATATCACTAGCCGCCCCCTAAACTGTATTTACTACTCAAAAAAGGGATTGTACTGGTGGAGTAACTGCACTCACTCAAATACTGACTAAGGCTAATGAAGACAGACACCAATATCATCAAATTGCCTATTTAAAATGTCATTATGCAACAGTAGAGATAGCACCAAATAATTTGTGAATGATCAAATCTGTAAAATGTTAAACAAATGTGGAGGGACTGTATTAGGTAAAAACCTAGAAACAATGGGTTTAATTATCATTGATAAAGTCAGAAAATATTCATATTCTGCCTTTTACATCTTTGCTCAAAACAGGATTCAGCCTTTCCCCTTTTGTTGAAATACTTTATGAATTATCGGGGAAAGATGTAACAAAAAATATATTGTCTACCACAGGTAGAATTGTTAATCCACAATTAAATTCAAGAGCAAATAAAATAATTAGGATAACAGCCTCAATTTGTTGCATGAAAATATTGAAAACTTCAAGACCAATACACCAAAAAGGCAGAGTAAAAATCAGGAAGTGTATCTCAAGTCTGCTTGCAGCTTGAAACTAGTAAGACAGTTCACAAGGCAGTGGAAGTGAAGGTAATATAACAATGCAACACAATGAAATAAAAATCCAATTGCCAAAACCCTCAAAATAAACAAAAAAGGAGCCTTGAAACTCCGAAAAGTACGTCAAAATGTTTCAGTGCCGTTACAGATAACCACAGAGGCCATCTAATCCCTTGTCATCCTGTAAATGTAGCCCCCTAGTGGTTCTGTGTCTCCATTCAAGGAAAGACGAGAAAAATCATATCGGGTCCCAGGGGAGAAGCCAGTAAAAAAATTCAGGCGAATMTTGCAAGAGTTATAAGGGAAAGCAAAAGATACCTTGATATCTCTGACTCTCCATCAGAGACAAACATGAATGACACAGAATTAAAATGATTAATCTTCCTAGTATGGTGATTTGCAGTCATAAGATAGATGTTTACTGGATTTGGGATTTGGGATGGGGTTGTACAGTGTTAAGAAAAACCTTTGAAAACTCCACATTAATAAAGGGGTGTCAGTTTCAACTGAGTTTTCAATGTTCAATTGGAAATTTGGAAATCATGTGTGTTTGCAAGTTTAATATCTATTATCCAACAAGATCCACCAACAGATGAAATCTGGAACCTCCAAGAAAATGCCATAATTTCTACGAAGTTGGAAGYCCACAACAAAGAATCACTCAATGGCACATTTTCATCCATTTCCATTGGGTGTAACCTTTAGTATCCAGTGAGCACTGCCAACCAAGTTCTAGTGCATCAATAAAATTGACGCAAGGTATGGAATTCATTGAGAGAGAAAATCAAGTCATAGTTCAGCTGTGTAGAGGAGGAGACATCAGAGATCCAAATCCAGCYAAATGCCCCAGTTGCAAAAACTCAATGAATAAAAAATTTGGAAATCTAGACTGGGTATGTGTGTGTATAACACACATATATGTTTAATGTTTAATCCCAGAAAACTAGACAAATGAACAAATTCTTGTTCTGTGGCTGGGCATGAAAACTTGTCTGACTGTCTGTCTATCCTTCTGTCTATCTTATCTATCTATTTACCTACCTACCTATCTGCATCTATCTATCTATCTATCTATCTATCGATCGATCGATCTATCGATCTATCTATCGATCTATCTATCAATCTATCTATCTGAATATAAATGCAAAGCCACAGAACAAGGAATTATCTGGGATTAACATTGGATAGTGGTTTGAGACCAGAACTTCAGAGTACCAGGGTTTGAATCCTTGCTCACTTGTGAAAGCTCACTGTATGACCTTGGGTAAGTCAATATTTTTCACCTTAGATGAGGGCAATGGGCAACCTCCACTTAATACTGTAAATCTTGCCAAGATTCTGATTCCCTATGCTTTGAAACCACAATGTTAAACTGAGCATAATGGACCAGCTTCTATTATGCGATGTTAATATACTCACTGGTCTTTAGTACTTGGATATGCAGTCATGGTGAGTCTATGGAAAGGAAGAAATGGCTAGGATTTCCTGGTCCACAAACACAATTTGAGCAACACTGACACGATACCTTCATTCAGAGATTTAAGTAGAAGGCTGTACTAGAAAAACAGTATTTATAAAATTAATTGGGAATATGTACTGATCTTGTACTGTTTCATAAAATAGCAGTGGGAGCATGTGAAAATTTACCAGGTGATTTGTATTTCTGCATCCAATGAAAGTGGTTCTATATCCACCCTGACACCCCTTGATATCTCTGACTCTCCATCAGAGACAAACATGAATGACACAGAATTAAAATGATTAATCTTCCTAGTATGGTGATTTGCAGTCATAAGATAGATGTTTACTGGATTTGGGATTTGGGATGGGGTTGTACAGTGTTAAGAAAAACCTTTGAAAACTCCACATTAATAAAGGGGTGTCAGTTTCAACTGAGTTTTCAATGTTCAATTGGAAATTTGGAAATCATGTGTGTTTGCAAGTTTAATATCTATTATCCAACAAGATCCACCAACAGATGAAATCTGGAACCTCCAAGAAAATGCCATAATTTCTACGAAGTTGGAAGCCCACAACAAAGAATCACTCAATGGCACATTTTCATCCATTTCCATTGGGTGTAACCTTTAGTATCCAGTGAGCACTGCCAACCAAGTTCTAGTGCATCAATAAAATTGACGCAAGGTATGGAATTCATTGCTAAACATGAATGATACATGAACTAAAAAACATGATAATGAAACATGAACTAGTAGCAATAGTTGCTAACAGAAACTTACTTGTGCCTGAAAGCTGAGACAAAGGAGCAATACTGGCAGCTGTACTTGTCTTCACGAGTAAACATGGCCAGTGCCATGTGGCTCCTCTCATGCGATCGTAGACCCTGCATAGACATCAAAACCCGGTCACACTGGCTGCAGTGGTAGCCACCAGGTCTGGTTTCATCTTCCAGTGATGGTCCAGATTCAGCTTCTGTAAGTTCCAGAGTGGCAACACTGCCAGGGTCTTTGGCTCCCTCAATACCCTCCAAGAAAGCTGCATGTGAAGGATCTTCAACTTCCTGCTAAAAGACACACATCCCCCCAAAGCCATCAATTCTCTCCCTTCTGCCTATTATTACTATCACATCTATGGAAATTGATGGTCTTCTTCTACCAGTAACATCTCTACAACTTCACTATGAACAAATTCTGGAAACAACCCTCCCACTGCAGGGATGACTAGAAAGAAACATACAGCTTGACTACGTTCTCAACCTGTGGGTCCCCAGATGAAATCCTAACAGCTGGTAAATGGGCTTGGATTTCTGGGAGTCGTAGGCCAAAACATCAGGGGTGTTTGAAAATCACGGACTTAACTGGATAGAAACACCATGGTTATTTCCATGGTTATTATACATGGTAGTGGGGATGCTTACTCTCCTTCCTTCATCTACCTAAACTAAAACTGGCACAGGGCACTGCACCCTTTATGGCCAGCTTTTTCTGCAGAAAAGCCTCAATAAATATTTTTCAATCTTCATCAGCAACCATGCACTATCTACTGCTAATCTACCAACATTTTCCAGAATTAAATAAACGATTTTATCATTTAATATGAGGTGGGGAAGAGCACTAGAAAAACAACATCTTAACTACTGTTTACAAGCACACTTTTTGTGTCAGGAGTAACTTGAGATATTGCAAGTGGCTTCTGGTATGAGAGAATTGGCCACCTGGGGAGCTAGAGCTGAGATGGGGGCTCACCCTGCTCCCCGGATTTGAACCACCAACCTATCGGTCAGCAGTCCTGCCGGCACAAGGGTTGAACCAGGGGTCCTCAACTGTTGGAGGGCCTGATTATAATTTGAAAAAAAATGAATGAATTCCTATGCACACTGCATGTATCTTATTTGTAGTGCAAAAAAGACTTAAAACATACAATAATTAAAATGAAGAACAATTTTAACAAATATAAACTTATTAATATTTCAATGGGAAGTGTGGGCCTGCTTTTGGTTGATGAGATAGGATTGTTGTGGTGGTTGTTGTTGTGTGCTTTCAAGTCGTTTCAGACTTAGGTTGATCCTGAGCGAGGGCCGGGTAAATGACTTTGGAGGTCTGTATCTGGCCCCTGGGCCTTAGTTTGAGGACCCCTGGTTTAACCCATTTCACCACTGGGGGCTCCTGATCAAGCACACTGATTCACATCTTTAAGTACTGGATTTTTAAAGATAATGTGTTGGCAGTATCAAATCTCTGTTCTTTGCATAAGTTCTATAGATTTTTTTAAACTTTCTCCATCAAAACATACTTAAGGGACAATCCAGGACAGCAAAATGCAAGGAGAGAGTATTGTCACAGACTTAAAGAAAGACAATATTGGATTTGCCATTCTACAGAAAGTTCTTTCCATATCTCACATGCCATCTTTTGTTCCATGAGCATAAGAAAGGCAGGACATACATCAGAGTGGTCCTGGAAAACTAGCATATACAAGGACTATTTATAAGCAGTTCACTCTCTCCCTCCTATGATCTCCCATGCCTTAGTTTATACTACCTTTTCTCAACCTTTTAATCCAGGGGAACCCCTGAAATAATTTTCAGGTTGCAGGATAATCCAGTGTAAAAATTACTATATTTCTAGCTTCCCTTCTCCCAGCCTCGAAAAAAAGTTTTATTTAGTTGTTTCAATCATAATCTCTGAGCAAACCCTCAAAACTTCTCAAGGAACCCTGCTTGAGGAACCATGGTTTAAAACAGAGTTTGTTGATGCAATGGTTCTTTGTACAAAAAGACACAAAGGTGGCTCAGATTTTGCAGCAAGCAACAGTGAATTAGTTACAAGCCGCACAAATTGAGAAAAGTGTGTTTGATTTTCTGTTATTCTGCATAATGTATTTTTCTTCTGATTGTCCAGTGGGGGAAGGAGAGGAGAGTTATACAAGGCACTGAAGTCCTTATCCCAGTACGTTAAAAATGCTGTTTAGCAACTTCTCAAATCTCACCAGGCATTGTCAACACACTTCCAAGCGCAGCTTCACACCCCATAAGGATTAGAAAATTACTTTCAAAAAATGAAAAAGATTCAAAATTAAGTTGAAACATTGGATACATAATATGCAGTGTGCCACATTAACTGTGCATGCTAGTATATAGGGTATAAAATACATGAATGTTTTAGAAATGCACAATCCTATTTTCATTTTCTAAAGTATTTTTTAAAAGGAAGTACAATCCCAAAAAGATTTTGTTTGTTTGTAAAAGTACATATTTCCATGCATTTTGGAGAATGAAATCAGGAAATATCTGAGAAAATGCAAAGTAATGGTCAATCCAATGAATAAAAATATCTTGGTGTTAATGTTTACAAGAGTCAATGAACATAGACTTGAAAGGAGCCTCATGGGCCATCTAATCCATTCTCAATGCAGGATCCCCAGCTAAAGCATTTCCCTTCTAATTAATTAGGTAAAGTCCCCTTAAGAAAGCTCTTGAACTTTCTCACCTTGACTGCAGCAGACACCGAGGAACCATTCCCATACTGAACATGCTTACGAAGATGGTTGCAGATGGCTCGTAGAGTTGGATGAACTTCCACACAAAATTTACACTTGTATCCCACAACCTTCCGCTCCTTCAGTTTTGAAATTTCTTCCAAGCTACCAAAAGGCTGTAGGCCAACAAAATTTGAAACCTAATTTAATATTCCTTTCTGGAAGCGAATATAACAGACAGCAATAAAGATTGATGGATAGCAATGCGGATTTCTGCAGAGCAATTAGTAACAATATGTTAGACCAAACCACTGAGGTGGTGCATGTTTATTACAAAGGTTGATACTGAAAAGTCCCTTAATGAATTTAACATATCATTAAAATATTGCCCTGAGCTCTTAGGGCACAAAGAAAAATCAACTGAAATGTGTAATCCATTAGATACAAAAACATGGAGGCAAACTCTTCCATATTTATACAAGATTTTCTTTACAGAAAAAAACAAGTACAAGCAGTCCCCAGAAAGATTGTGCAGGTTTGTTCTGAAGTTACATTTGTATGTAAGATAGGTAGACACACACACACAAAATAAACACACACACACACACAAGCTTTGGATAGCATGGAGAAGAGTTAACACACCTGTGGTGTTTGTTTACTCTTTATACCCCTGTTCAGAAGATTTCACCTCACTTTCTGTCCTTGTGATAATTGGATTTTAAAAAAATTGGCTTATTGTGGAAACAAAGATTTGTTATAAAGCTTCAGTTGAGACATCTTTTCTCCATGGGAACTATTTCAGAAGTGAATTTCCCTTCCAAGAGGTAGATTTCTCGGACTTCAAGTTGTCTCACCCCCATTTGTAACTATGAGTCGTTTGTAAGTTGGATGTTTGCAACTTAGGGACTGCCCATAACAGCATTTCCATACTACATTAACATTTATTGAACATTATCTACGCTACACATACAACCCAGTTTAATCCAATGGGACATTAATGGCTTTCTTCAAGTGAAGTTTGAAACTGTAGTTTGGATGTGAAGACACATACAAAAAGTTAAATGAAGACCATCTCTGGACAGGAGGTCCCCATTTCCTTGCCTTGAACAGTTTGACTCATGGTCAGCCTCCATAATTCCTTTTACATTATTTGATCGCAGAAGTAACTCTTCTAAAACAGATTCAACATCTAGGCTCATGATCTTGCTATGGACAAGAGATCTCCATTTCCTTGCCTTGAACTGTTTGACTCATGGTCAACCTCCATAATTTCTTTTACATTATTTGATCACAGAAGTAACTCTTCCCCTAAAACAGATGCAACATCTAGTCTCATGATCTTGCTTAAGAATGCAATTGCTGGCAAACCTAAAATGAAATTACTTTCCTTTCCAACTGTAACTGTTGATCCAATAAAATGCTTTTATCACTCTTCTCTTATACTCTTAAAGCAAGGTGGGAATTGTGTGGTCTACCAGATATCATTGGACTGTAAATCCCAGCATGGCTCACAATTAGCCTTCTAGTTCCGCAACCTCTGAAGGACCACACAACTTCCACAATAAAACTGGAAGACCTCCAGGTTTGCACTAAGTGGTCAATAAAAACCAGATGAAGTTTATTTCAACTATGACTCCTGCCAAATGAGTTGACTTCTTTTGCTATGATTTCAATGAAGTAAGAACGTTTTTGATCTGTAGTTTGTAAGAAACCCACTGCAAATCCATGGTCTTCAAGGGCTTTGCAATAGGCTTTCTTCTCAATGAATGTGCAAAGGAACTAAAATTAAATTTTAGCCATATCAATTCCTGGGGCAAAGAAACAGGTAGAAAAAAGCAGTCATTTCCTCATACCAGAAAGCTAATAGGATTTGATGCCAAAGAGAAATTAGCTTCAAAAGGGAGAATAGGGCAAGTGGGGAGTGGGAGGGGAAACAACTTGCCAGGACTTCGAGGAAGGGGCGGGGGAGTGGGAAAAAAGAAGGATGTAATCAAGCTGCAATGTTTAATTGACTTAGGGCTTATTGGCACACTAAGTCACTGGTGAGCCTGTAGCTCCTCAGCTGCCAAAGGAAATGTGCATCTGGATGCTAGTAATGAGAAATCTCCTGAGGGTGGGAAAGGAGGAAGAACACCAAATATAAATATAAAATGTGAAAACATATCCTTACCCTCTCTTGCTTGAAATCTACAAAAGCACCATCTGCATATTTTTGCTTGCTCAGAAGCTGCTTCCTTCTCTCCTGACGTTTGGCACGCTTCTGGAATTCCTCATTGTGGCTGTTCAAGTGTGAGGTCAGCTCTGCAATGCTGTGCAATTTACAATCACAATGCCGGCACTGGTAGAGGGGGTCTGGGAAATGGACGCCACTTCCCAGGATGGTAAAGTCTCTCTTTAAGTCCTTGCTGTGGTGCTCGGTGTAATGCATGCACAGGAGCTCAGCTGAGCTGAAGGAGAGTTTGAAACACTTAACGCACCGGAAGGGAAGCCACTCCATTTCCGGCACCGGCACCGGCTCCTCAACCTCAACCTCCAGCTTCTCAAAATCATTCTTCTCCTCAGGGGAAGGCTCCGGCTTTTCATACTCATCAGCGTACACAGCAGTGAAGTAACCCCCCAACTTGCTTGCATGCTGTTTCTTCGGGAACACTCCTGGGTGGCGTTTCATGTAATGGGACACGATTCCTTTTTTGCTGAAGGACTGGAAGGAGCACAAAGAGCACTTCTTCTTCTCCACAGCCCTTCTCAGTTCCTCACTTAGCTGAGGAGAATCATCCTTCTGGGGCGATGGAATAATTACTTTATTGGGCTTGTCAGTTACAGTCCTTGAGGCTGCTAAGCAATGGGTATAGTATGCGTCAATGTCATGACGCTTCTGATAATGTGCAGCCAGACCTTTTCGGATAGGATTTGTGTAGGAACACAACGCACATTTAAAGAGGTTGTTCTTGCCTTCTGGCTGGGCCCGCACATTGTTGTGCTTTATTCGGTAGTGCCTCGCTATGCCTTTCCTCGTGGAGCAAAAATACTTACAGAGCTGGCACCGGAATACAGTGTGAGAAACCAAATGGGAACTTGAAAAGTGGGAAGGGGACATAATGTCCTCTCCGATTATCTCTTCAGGTGGGATTTCTGGGGAGGGCTTCATTTCAGTTACTAGTTCAGGTTCTATGGATGTTGGAAACTTGGGAGGTGACTGTGCAAACACATCAAATTCAGGCTGGTTATGATATTTTTCATAATGGATTTTGAGTTTCTCTAAAGTGCCGTGTGTATAAGGGCACAACTTACACCTGTAAGCACCATACCCTTGCTTGAAAATCCTACTGGTCTCTTCCACATCATTCTGGGTCATGTCAGCAGGTTGCTCCACATCATGTACAAAATCTTCTGCGGTGACCTTAACTGAAGGGTGCCTTTTCTGATAGTGTGTGAGAACACCATGGATACGTGTATTGATGTATGGGCAATGCCTACATTTGTACACAGCACCTGGATTAATATCGATGTCCTGTGCAAAATCTGCAGCTTTCACTTTCATTCCAGGATGTTTTTTGCCGTAGTGAGTTAGAAGGCCATGCAAGTTGTTGTATTCTGATTGGCACACTGTGCACTGGTATGGGGTTGAAGATATTGCAGGATTCACAGAAGTGAGCTGGATTGCTTTGTCTTGGGAAAGGTTTGAATCTCCTGCATATTCAGTATCCTGGTCCAACGGTGTTCCTGACATCTGGTCCTCTGAATTTAACCTGGCACTAGCATCGTCACCTTTATCGGCAGCATCTTTCTCCTTAATGATATCTAGCAATACAGATTCATCCCCATTCATAGCCCATGGATGAAAAGCTTGGTAGTGATTAGTGATGTCCCAAATGGAAGATGCTTCAAAAATGCAGTCCCTGCATTTGTACGTTTTCATCTCTGAGGGTATCAACATGGCTGGCGGTGAAGGATCTGGCCCTGCCCAGAGTTTTGTTGCCATATAAGTATAGTCCACATAATGCTCAGGATGTCGCCTTTGGTAATGCACGAGTAAGCCGCTGGGCTCAGCATGAGAGTAGATACACCATTCACAATGATAACCAGCTTCTATTAGGCCATCCAGAAAGGCCCATCGCAAAATAGATGTGACTGTGGCCTTCAAGCTCGGGTGGTCCTTTTTAATGTGCTTCCTTAGGGCGTAGAAATAAGGTGATGTGTAAGAACATTGCCGGCATTTGAGAGCTCTCAGCTTTGCCTTTTCTTGCTCAGCATTGGAAGCCTGTGTATGAATGCTACCAGGGGAGTTTTTCTGGCCACGATCACAAAGGCTTCTGATTGTGGCAGTATGCTGCCTAATCACATCGGCATTGGCTTTGAAATCACGATGCTTCTTTTGGTAATGTATGAGCACGCCTTTCACAGTCCGGTTTCCATAATCACAGTGCTGGCAGAAGAACATCTCATTCTCTGAGGAAGCTACAGCTCTCCCAGAATTGCCTCTATTATGCTGTTGCATAGATGTTGGTGGTCTATGGATGCCAGGAGGTATATCTCCAGCTCTCATCATCGCTGCAGTGGGAGGTGCCTGTCTAATGTATTTTGCAGTCACTTTTATCTCTGGATGTCTTTTCTGGTAATGCACTAGTACTCCAACTACTGACCTATTGCTATAAGAGCAATGTTTGCAATAGTAAAGCTCTGTGATAAGGTCTGGAGGTGGCGGAGGCTGAAGCTGTGAAGACATGTTGGACATTTTGGGGGAAACAGGGGATCCCATTTCATACGCCATCTGAGCCAGAGCGGAGCCCCTTTCAACAGACACGACACGCATCGTTTTCTGAATCCTGAAGTAGGAAGCCTTTTCTTCTGGATGTTTTTTCTGGTAATGCACTAGAACAGAATGCATGTTAGGACTTGCAAATTGACATACATCACAGTCATAAACTACAACACTATTTACTGATGATTCCTTCTGGCTTTCAGATTCTGGGCTGTTGCTTTTTGGAGAATTTTTGTTAAAAGCACCAGGTACACCAGTCCCACGCGCAACCGGGGTCGAACTAACCAGACTTTTGGGAGCTGAGTTCAAGATCTCTCTCAAAGTCTGAGATTCTGCGTTTAGACTTTCCTGCTGCTCAACTACATAGCTTGAGAATATCATTGCATTGTTAATTTTCACTGTTGGGTGCATTCTTTGGTAATGGGGCATTAAACTCCTAACATTCGGGCTGGTGTAAGAGCAAAAGCGACAACGATAGATCAAATCAGAATGATCGAAATTTAGTACATTCATTGCTTCAGGATGATGCTCACCATAATGTTGTTGCAAGTCTTCAAAGTTTGTATAATCAATGTAACATTCAAGGCATCTGTACACTGCACTGTGATCATTAGGATCCAGTATGTACCTAAAGCTGAATTTAATGTAGGGATGCATCCGCTGGTAATGAGTGCTAACACTCCTGGCAGACTTGTTGCTGAAGTCACAGTGTTTACAGTAGTAAAGCCGCCCAGAATCACCATAATCAGAATTATCATTATTTTGATCAGATCCATATATACTTGACTGGCTGCCCAAAACCGATGAATTCAGACCCTGATCCTTCAAGCCCATTGAAGAACAGTAATAGTCCTCCTCATCCTCAGATATAGTGAGCTCAATTTCTGCCCCATTAGTGGAATTATATTCATGGGCGATATTCCTATAGCTGGAATCTTTCTGGGTGTCACTAGTATCTCTCCCCCACATTTGCTGGGAAGTGAATGACGATATATCCATCAGTGGTTCTGCTTGTTCTTCCTCTTTGTCTAGTTCTACTTCTATCTCAACTTCATTGTCTTCCTCCTCCTCCTCTTCGTCCTCTACGTTAATTACTGAATCTTCCTGCTGCTTGTTTTGACTGATTTTGCTCTGCAAGTTGCTTGCTATCTCGTCAATTCTAGTTCTCTTTTTTACTGGTGACAGGTCGAGAGGAAAGTCATTGGACATCTTCCTAGAGGCTTTAGCTACAAAATTATTTTTAGACGACAGTCCAAGAATTGAGGTCTGGCTTTTCTTCACAGTGCTAGGAGAGGCAAGAGTATCAGGTTCACTGTCTTGTGGAGTATTTGATGAAGCGCCTTCATATTTTGGTAAGTTGTCACAAAACGAGTGTTTGTGTTGTTGATGAACTCGAAGACCTTTCAAGGTGGTTGTGGAATAATTGCACATGGTACATTTATATGGATGCTGCGAGTTGGATTGTGGAGACTGTTGCTGCATGGAATCTATCATTCCCCCAGATTTCCTGCCATTTATATTACCCCCTTCATAGGATACTGTGCTTTCATTTAAAGAAGAAGCTATACTTTCAGTTTGGGAATTCACTGCATCCCAGTCCGATGCTGCACCACTATGACACTGTTTATGAGCTCCAAGTTTGAAGGAGCTCTTACAAGTGAAAGGACATTCATCACATTTGTATACTGCCGTCTTGCCTGATAGATGGATGTTTTCAATATGGCGGGAAATGCTTCGCCGATGCATGGTAAGGAAAGGGCAGAAAGGACACTGGAACCTATTCATAAACCTTCTAAATGGGATGCCCTTTGTTTCCAATAACTTGTGGCCCTCAGATCCCATCAGCTGCTCTGCACTTAATCCTGAGCTTTGGTGATCCATAGAGTTCAACCCATTCTCACTATCAAGTTCATTCAACTCATCATCAGAACTGGAGTCATTTAGCATACTGTTTGTATCCATATCAGCAGAAGAATTTGCCATGTCACCAATCCCATATTGAGATCTGTCAGACAAATTAACAATGCCCGAGTTATGAGATGCCTTATGCTTCAAATGTGGGTAAGAAACAGAAGAAAATTTTGAGGAGGAGTTGGACCTGCCAAGGGAATTGTTCATAGAACCTCTGTAGTTTGTGACATTTGCATTGGGCATCTCGCGTCCAGAAGCATTCATGGGGACATAGTTGGAGTTTGGGGTGGGGCTTGGTGGACCTTTGCTTGAGCCTTCTGGCATATTGGTCCCATCCGGTTGCTGCCTCAGGTTTGAAAGTATTTTCACCATGCTGCGATGTTTCTTCATCATATGGTCACACCAGCGTTCCCTTCGAGGCGTCTGATAGCTGCACCATTCACAACAGAAGTTGCCTCTTGACTTGGTTAAAGGCTTGACCATTGACTCCAAGATACTGCGTTCTACAACTTCAGCTGGAAGCTCCTTGCATGAGTCTTGCACCGACACAGATGTACATGCTGATTCAGACAATGCTGCTGAAGTGGCAGGAGGGGTGGAGCTCTCTTTCAGGCTGTTCTTGTGGTACATCTTCTGGTGTTTGATAATCCTTGCACGTCTTGGTGATTTATAGGTGCAGAACTGGCAAGAAAAAACTTTACCAAATCCCTCATGCATCATGATGTTGTAATTCATGGAGCCAGCACCAGGCGATCCAGCTGACGATCCCCCAGCGTGAGCACCATGAACTTTTCGTGTATGTTCTATGAGAAGGTTTTTGGATCTGAAGTAGCGCACACAAAATTTACACTGGAAAAATTTGTTTGCTGGCTTGGAGAGCATATGTTGGCCATAATAATTCTGGCTATGGCTGTAGTAATTTGCTGTCCCCAGCTGAGCTGCATTTTGCCCTGGAAAGAGAAAAAAAGGCTTTTTTAAAAAAAATACTTTGGAATTTGTTGCATTAACAAGACTGCCTGAACCTGCACTCACACATAGACATTGATCAACACATACAAAGTCTTACGTGTAATGAATAAGATTACCATCTATTGATAAAGGCATGTGAGGTGTAAATGACAATTAATGAAGTATTCCTGAGTGTACCAGCGCTAGAAATAGTTGGCCATTAGAGGAAAAACAGTAGCACAAGACTATGACTTTTGAAAGTTTTGGTTAGGTCCTGGAAATATCACATCATGTGAGCATTGTAATAAAAACTATGACTGTTCCTCCACATTTCCAGATTTTGTCATTTATTCATGGTCTAGACTACACCGTTCTCTCTTGGACTCTCTCAGTCCTCAAGTGTAACAATATGGTCAACTTCCTTCTTCCTTCAGAAAAAGACATTCCTAGAGAATATCTCTCTAGGAACCTTTAGGTTAGTGGTTCTCAACCTGTGGGTCCCCAGAAAAAAGCTGGTAAACTGGTTGGAATTTCTGGGAGTTGTAGGCCAAAACACCTCGGGACCCACAGATTGAGAACCACTGGTATAGGTCATCTAGTGCAATTCTGTGGTCTACTTCTAGCATAAGTTGTCCAAAGAGTAATGTCGGAGAACAGAAATCACTATAGAGATGTTTTCTAAGGTTTTTTTTTTAAAGCAATGTCTTTGTTTGCAGTTTCTCATTTTCAAGGCAGGAGGGGGGTTTTCTGTGTCCCTAACCCCAGAGAATGTGGAGAACTGACTATAGTAAAAACAGCTGGACCTGATCGTCATTTATATAATTTTATAAGCCACTGCAATACACAAAACAAGATATGAAAATGGAAATCACATCCATTTCTGTCATTCTGCATTGTTTATAAATATCAGAGGTGGAAGTCCCTCTCCAATTTCTGTGACTTTAAGAAGCAAACAAGACAAATAGGGTAGTATTAACAATATGCCCTGGAATAAATCTTTAAAATAGCAGCTTTTCAAAGAGACAGTTTGTACCTGCTATTTCATCTGCGATTGCAAATTCGTCTTTTACAGAAGAATATTCCACCTCAGGCTGGTCATTGCTATTCATGGAACTGAACCTTGACTGATTTGGAGTTTCCTCAGCAACATCTGTGGGCTGCAGAAATGCGGTGTGGACATCCTGAATATGAGCTTTAAGATCTTCGTAGGATGGTGCTCGAAAATCACAGCCATCACACTGCAGCACCTCCATAGTTCTTGTTGGTAAATCTTACATTAGGAAATCCTGAAAAGAGAGGCAAAGGCAAATTGTCAGCTAATTGTTTAATAATGCGTTAAACAGGTAATACTGATATGACTTTCTGTTTCATAAAAATCTTATAGTAGTGGAGATTTTAAGTCCTGAGCAAATATCTGAAACATTCTCCTTCTCCCACAAAAAGAGAAGTAAAACAAAGCAGCAATCAGCTCTTAACAGGAATTTCACTCAGAGGTGACATGCTAGAAGTGTACTGTTATGTGACTCATAGCATAGAAGTGGTCTGACTTGCATTTCCCCTCTCAAGTTATCCAGCTCTTACCCTGATGTTCACAACAACAGTGCATCTACAACAAAGAACAAGGAAACATAGGGAAAAATGCAATGAAACTACTGTTCAGAAAAAAACAACATTTTAATCTCAGACACTTCCTTGAAAGCACAATTAGATTATTGACTCATGAAATTTTATCCCAGGCTTTCTCCAAACATTCACTGTAGGCAATATACATGGTTTTGTTATTGCTGATGCTGTGTGCCTACAAGTCATTTCTGACTTATGGCATACCCATCATGAGTTGGGTTTTTTTTTTTTTTTGCAAGATTCATTGTTGTATCTTGTGTGTCTCCATATCGTTTTTGACTTATGACTGCTGAAATGAACCTATCTGGGGATTTTCTTGGCAAGCTTTTTTCACATGAGGTTACCTTTGTCTTCCTCTGAGTCTTAAGAGAGCGTGCTTTGCCCAGTGGATCACCCAATGGGTTTTCCAAGGTGACAGAAGATTCAAACCCTGGGTAGGTTTTTCGGGTTGTATGGCCATGTTCTAGAACAGTGGTTCTCAACCTGGGGTCTTCAGATATTTTTGGCCTTCAACTCCCAGAAATTCTAACAGTTGGTAAACTGGCTGGGATTTCTAGGAGTTTTAGGCCAGAAACATCTGGGGACCCCAGGTTGAGAACCACTGTTCTAGAAGCATTCTCTCCTAACGTTTTGCCTGCATCTGTGGCAAGCATCCTCACAACCTGAGGCTGCTTGCCACAGATGCAGGTGAAACATCAGGAGAGAATGCTTCTAGAACATGGCCATACAACCCGAAAAACCTACAACAACCCAGTGATTCCAGTCATGAAAGCTTTCAACAATACAGATTCAAACCCTGGTTTTCAGAGTCATAGTCCAAATGCTCAAAAACACTATACCACATTGGCTCTTTTTGTATTTATATATTTATTTACTGCATTTATATGCCACTTTTCTCACCCCTGAGGGGACTCAAAGCGGTTTCCGACATACTCGTGGCAAAATTCAATGCCGTACATACATGTGAAAACCAAAACATATTTTCTAGACAATAACATATACTATAAATCAAGAATGTTAGCCATATTACACATATCAGCATAAAACAACATATACATTAAAATGGCATCATTAAAACAGTTATTTAAAATCACACAATCTGGGATCACAAGTCAGGAGTCATTCGAATTGTCATCTCTAATTGCTCATTATTGCACTGAGATATCAATTGTTGCACTATCACTGTACAAATGCTTGGTACAGTCCTCAAAAACAAACAAAAACTAATCTTGTGAAGTAGGCTTGGCCGAGACCATACAATTGGCCTAAAGTCATTCGGTAAGCTGAGTGGGCCTCTGCATATAGAACAGGCTCAACACTCTAGCCTTGCATTTCCCAGTGAGATGTCATCCATATTGGTTGGATAACAACTCTTATTACTCCCAATAAGCATGGGATGATCGGAATCATAATCCAAGACACTTGGAGGATGTGCCTCATGGAAGGTCTATTCTGTCCACAGCACTGTGCAACTCTTCTGCTGCAAAAACATTGAATCTAACTATCCGATGAGTTCGTTATTGGTGTTCTTCTAAAGCTAAGTCTTAAGAAAATCTCCTCCTCCGCAGAGTTTGACTGAATATGGCATCTAGTCTTTCATTCATGATACAACATCAACCACTCAACAGGATGATAGAAATTACATTTTTTGCTATGATTTCACGGATCATGTGATTTTACTGATCTAGCTAAGGACGAAAGTTCACTACCCTATTTGTTCAAATCCATTGTTTCTATAACTCTGTGGAATGATAACAGACTAGGTTTGGGGGAAAAGACCACATTCTGGAGAAAGAAGTAGTGTTTCTGGAGGAAGAGGGGGAGGAGGATGAGAAGAAGGGTGATGATTCAACCACAGCATCACAGGAATCCTTACCTACTCAAGCTGATCATATTCAGACCTGCACAAATCCAAAAGATGGAACGGCAGCCAAATTATACCCTGATGAACATTCCATTATCTCATTTTACAATCAGATAAAGTTACTTCTACTGAAGTATATAGCTAAATCATTATTGTGTCATTGCTGTGAAGGAAAACGCTGCTTTCAGGATTCTTCAGCAAAAAGTGTATCCTGATAGTGTCATTCATCTATCTATCCCGATCCATCTATCTATCATCACCAAACTTTTTTTAGACACCATGAGCATAAGACATATCTACTGTTGTTTCCCTAAACTCCCCCTCTGCTTTACATCTGTTGCCTTCCTTGTGTTGAAAGAATGGACGCTGGCATTGCCTCCTTTTCTGCTAACCAAGTTGACAACAATTGAGATACTCAATCATTTTCTGTGCAAGCACCAGACCAGCCTGTGTTGAGAAGGTTGCTATCTGCTCTGGATCAAATTACAGCAGTGAGCTCGGAGGCCCCACCCCAGAAGTCTCCTTTAGCACAGTCCATTAGACCTGAAAACAAACCCACCCAACTCCCCCCCTCGCCCCCGCTGGTGCAGCAGACAACTACTGAATTCAGAACGCTCCACGGGAAGAAGAACGAGGAGAAGAAAGAGGCTGCAGCAGATCTTCCAGGTTTCACTGTCCACCCTTCTGACCTCCCTCCCACCAAGCTTAGTCCTTTCATCTGAGCCAATCAAAGCCACAGCTCTACTGAATGTGTTTATCACACTTCTAAGAGATATGAACTCCTGCGTCACTGGATCTTTAAGACTCACTAAGCTGCCCTAGTCCTCTGAGCTTTAGGGGGAGAGAGAGTGCAGCCATTTTAGCTCAGACAAGTCATGTACTCAGCAAGAGAGGGAGAGAGAGAGGCTCAGAGCTTCTCGCCAGCAGACAACATGGCTTCACTTATCTCAGCCTCATCTCCAGCATACAAGAGACGTCCCCCTCCCTCTTTCTTTCTTCCTCCTCTCTCAGTCTCGTTCTCTCTCCCCCTCTCCCCTCCCTGCCTCCAAGATTGATGTTAGGAACCAGCTTCTGAGAGGAGCATATCTTCTCAGGCTTTAGCCTTTGCAGGAAACAACAGCTGTCTGAAGACGCCAACAATATCAGACCAGTTTCTTCCTTCTCCCCATGGGAAAAAAAATCCCTCCAAAGGTTCCTTCTCTCTACTCCCATCCAGTAACAACAAGCAAAAGAGTTGCCCAAATTTGTCCCACAGACACAAAAGCATAGCTATGACCTTTCATGACAACAACGGTAAAGATGATGGTGGTGGTGACAGAAGAGGAGGAGGATGAAGAAAGGGAAAGGGAAAGAATAGGAAGGCAAAGAAAGAGAGAAAAGCCCTCCGGTCTGCTCCAGGCTCTTGGGAGTCATTCTCCAATACGCAGAAGACATACCATCTGACTCTGCCTGCCAGATTCCAAAGTCTAATGACCTTTGTTAATCACCAGCCAAGCTGTCTGCCTCAGCAAGCCTTGCCAATAGGCACACCCTTCAACACAAAGGCTGGAGCTATTCCTTTTGGAGAGAGAGGTTCTCTGAAAGCTCCATTGTGTAGGAAAACCAAGAGGAAAGAGAAGGGGGAGGGAGAGAGAATCTCTTCCTTTAAATACCCGCCAGTCTTTCAGGAACAAAGTGATAAAAACACGGCCTTCTACTGTTTCTCCTCCATGGAAAAAAAAGTTCTCCGAATGGAAACAAAAGACGGGAGAGAAGAGAGAGAGAGAAAAAAAATTACACATCATTCTGCAAGGCAAAATCCAGTCCCTTTAGTGAAGAAAAGCAACCAGAGAATTGTCATCAGTCAGCACCATATGCTTGCAATTTCTCCCAAGTCTGAAGAATGTTAACTCTGGTTGGCCCACATATAAAGACACACCACCCAATATTCAATTTTTTCTCAAAAAGGCAAAAAAACAAAAACAAAATACAGAGTAAATGTGACCACCAGGTGTTAATAGGGAGATACTATCTGGAACAGCCCTCCATGAAATGATACACGTGCTCTATCATAGCACATGTTTATTTCAACAGGCCGTGTGAAGGAGAGGACTGTGACTGTGGATATTCAAAATACAGTGGGTTTATTTTAACACTAGCTGTACCCGCCACRCGTTGCTGTGGCCAAYCGTCCCTCCTTCTTTCTCTCCTTCTTTCTTTCTCTCCTTCCTTCCTTCCSTCTTTTTCTTTCCCTTCTTCTTCTTTTCCTTCTCTACCTGTTTCTTTTCTCACTTCCTTTGCTCTTTGGTTCCATCCTTCCTTGTCTCTTTCCTTCCTTCCTTTCTTCTTTCTCTCTTTCGTTCCTTCTCTCCTTCCTTCCCTCTTTCACTTTTTTATTTCCTCTCCTTCCTTCCTTCTCTACCTTTCTTTCTTTCCTTCTCTCCTTCCTTCCTCCCCCCTTTCTGTGTATGTATTTTGTGTGTGCATATATCTGTGTGTATATTTCTGTATATATTTGTGTGTTTGTGTACATATGTGGTTTTGCGCATGCGTTGTCATGTATTTTTGTGGGTTTGTTTTTTGGCTTTTTAAGCCCCTTCTGCTGTGTTTTTCAGTGTTTTTATGAGTGATGGTCACTCGTTGGCCTGATAGGTGTATTTGTGTCCAAATTTGGTGTCAATTCATCCAGTGGTTTTGAATTATGTTAATCCCACAAACGAACATTACATTTTTATTTATATAGATTTACAAAATCCTCATGTCAAGCAAAAGCTTAATAACTCTGCAGGAGCGGCCAGCAATAATTGCTATGCAGCTGAC